CGCATATATATATACATATATATATATGCGTGTGTGTGTGTGTGTATCAATAATAGCTCCTCAGTTTTGCGACCTCATAATAAACAAAGTTGAGCAAGGAAATAGACGCACCAAACTTCGCCGCATTGTGCGTATTATTACAAATCCTGAACTCCTCAAAACCCTTGGAAGTAGTAACAATCAAGAAATATATATATATATATATAATGATTGGAATCATACAGGGCGGCACAAAGTCAGTATAATTTGTCAACACGTCATAGTCAATGTATAAAGCATTCAGGTAATGAAAAACTACAAATATAAATCTCATCGATCACCGACGCATATTTATACATATGAAAATATATAAAGCATTCAGGTAATCACAAACTACAAATACAAATCTCATCGATCACCGACGCGTATTTATATATAAGAAAATATACATAGTATATATCAAATGTATGAATACTTGTGCGTATCTATCTATGAATGAAAGATTATGTATTAAATAAGGTAGAAGTACAGATAACGACAGCCTAATCGTCTCACCATCCTGGACATCACAGAAGTGCCTCTGGTGCCAATCCTCCAGGCTGTTGATTTTGGCTTCGCTCGCATGTATCACCCATCGCTGACGAGCCAATTCCTATAAATAGAATGCAAGAAATTATAATTATTTGAGAAATGGAAAATAGTTACCATTAGTGAATATTGTGGAGAGAATGTTCAGGATTCACAACTCAACTTAGACAAAACTAGAAATAGGGAGATGAGAAAGTGGTTCCCGCAGAGGCAGTGTCAGTCAGCGACCCACTATACATGCATGCTTTATATACATTATACTCACTGGATGCACAAGCCTGTACAAGTATACCTACCTTCTCCATAGTCCCATCTGTGATGATCACAGCCACCTCCAGGATCTCAGGGTCAGTCAGCGACGTGAACTCGAGATCCATCCACACCAGATTATCTTTACGTTTATGCATTGCTATCAAACCATCGACGCTCTCGCCGTACTTGTTGATTACGTTATCGCAATCCGCACCCAATTTACGTAGTAAATCCGTAAGATGGTGTTTTCTCAGCCATACAGACAGATGTGCGGGTGTCATCTTGTCCATACTCTTCTGCACGTTTATATTGAATCCGTGAGTGGTGACGAGTCGTTCGAGCACATCTGCTTTGTCCTGCGGGAGATACATAGTTCAGCGGGAAATTATTAAAGAGATAACAAGATATTTATTGTAGTGTATATACAATGCCAGCGGAAAGATATGATTGAAGTGATAAGATATGTAAATATAAATGTGCTTTATAGTACTCCCTAAAGATATTTAGGGATCAGCGGAATAGTATGTGTTCAGTTATTAATTATTTTTGATAGTGCACAATCTGCTAAACACGATACAGAGGAATTGCAATGTTGAAGTGATTTGACAGCTATAGCAGTACATATATATATATAGCAGTTCACCATCAAACGTCATACATTCTGCATAGTAGAAGAGGTTCTATTACATTGCATGCTTGCTTTGTCCTTTAGGAGACCCAGGGTTGAACGGAGTGGCTTTAGTGGCGTGAATTAAAATATTTTGTGTTTACATATTCCCAGTGTAATAGTATCGTGAAGTGATTTGGCCTATATCCAGGATTGCTTGCACATTAGCTGATCAAAAACCTCATGGAGGAGTATACCTCTTATGTAACCCCTCCAGGCCTAAGCCACATCCACGCCAATTTGAGCCATCGCGCGCCCCGTCTGACATCTTAATGCTTCTCTTCACTGTACGAACATATATTGGCATCTCAATTTCCTCATTCAAGAGTATATACTTACATTAAGCCACATGAACCGGTACTCGCCCGATTGGCAACTTTGTATCTGACTAAACTAGGTCTCAGACACATCCGGGCTAAGTCATATAATCAAACTGCCTATCTCTGCTCCGTTTTACATCGTTACTCAATTTCTAGGGATAATTTAGAATTTAATACATACAAACATGATTACATATATATATATATACAATATATACATACATACATACATG